TAATTTATTTAATAAAATCCATTAAGTTTTAAATAAGGAAGGAGATTATTGGATGACAAAAATAAACCATATGTCGTGCTCACTTGAATGCATGTTTTTTCTAATTTTGTGATCTTCCAATCGGATGACTCAATAATAATCAACCGAATGTACAAGTACATCCTTAGTATTGGCTACATTTTGTCATCTTTTCGCTCTTATGAAAGAGTGCATAAGACAATTTCGAAAAAACCACTTTAAATGACATTTCTCTTTCTATCTATCTTTGTCACATCTCTTGCATCTTGTAAGATTTCGTATGAAGTGCACTCGACTCTGTCGTCGTTGAAGTGTGTGGTGATGGTGATGGTGACGGTGACGGTGCTTATTAATAAACAATTTTCTTGAGCAACAAACACATTTCAACGCAATGAAAACGCAACACACATCTCATTAATAATAATCATTTGGTATTTTGATTCGTCAGATTTTAAAAGATGTGATGAGCCGAAGGCAATACTATTGCGACTACCTAAATGACACTTTTTCAGCTTAAGATAGTGTTTGTGTGTGGTTTCCAAACAAATCACTTTGAAATAAGTTTAACGCGTGGAATGAGTGAATGTAAAGTAAAACACGGCGATTTTATTGTATATACTCTGATACACACTATTTACGCTACGCTATACAGTTGCTTAACGTACACAAAAGAGATCGTTCTTTTTTTATTATTTTGAGTTTATCTCCAGGTGAAAGATCTCTTGTATATAAGAAGCACGAATTTATTAAAAATTAATTTTGTTTTTCTAAAAATAAAGAAGATGACTTGGAGTGCACATATCACAATATGTATTTTTGCAAATCATTTGTGTCGCTCCAAGAGTGGACGAGCTTTGAGTCTCCTGTCGGTCTTAACAAATTGGCTAAAGCATAAAAATGACTGATTCGGATTACAAACGATAAGCTGTATCATTCATTCCATTGCCTTTTTACTTTATCTCTTAGCATTATGTGGTTAATGAAGCTGTGTGACGTGTAGCAGTCGCTAAAAAAATACGTAAAAATCACATTCGCCAAAAATTGGAAGACAACTAAAAAATACACACACCAACCGATGCATTTTTTTATACAGATTTTTGCTTTTTATTTTGTTGTATATTATTTTGTCTTGATATTTTTTTACTTCTTATTTTCTTTGATCGAGAGCCCTTGGTCTCTTTTATACCATACCATACGTTACTTTGTTTTCAATGTGGATTTACTCATGCGGTGTTTAAATGTGGCCTTTATCATTACATCACAACAGCTTATAAATCACACCAATTTGTTATTGTTGTTGGTTATAGCCAGGTTGTTTGACTGACTGCGCGATCATTGCATTTGATGATTACAAAAAGTATTGCTCCAGGGACCTATGAATTTATTAGTTTTGCTTTACATTTACATAATATTATCAACGGTTATAATGACAACAAGAATTTAACCGGCTACAATTATATTGAAGTGGCTTATGAAGTGCTCAATTGCACACTTTACATTTTTGGACAATTAACTTTTTTTTATTTATGACGATGAAAAATCAACAACAACAAGTTGTTTTGGTCTAGCGAAAGAATCGCTAGAATTGATAATAAATTTTTGACTGTCGTCAAAAGATCGAAGCATTCATCGTAAGGATGGGACGATTATAAATTAGAATGCTCATCACAATTCTAAGCAACGATATACCGATGAAAATGAAGATATCGGGTCATGACACTGCAACATTTTTGTGAGTGCCATTCACATGCTAGTAAAATAAATCTTTCACTCACAGCTGAGAAGTTGCATTTAAAACGACTATTATTAGTCGCTTGTTAACACTTCGTGCTCCAATGCACTGCCAAACAATGTGCCTTCGATTGTCGTTTTATTTATTTATTTGCTTGACTTCTTCCTTTTGTCGTCGGGTCTTTGCTATTTGTACACGTCGTGCTGTATTTACAAATAATTATCGTGTTTGCAATCTGAATGTATCATTTGATTCACGGGTTTCCAATTTAAAAGTACATTTATGTGCTTTTGCTTTGATTTTCAGTGTTCAGTAGATAATTTTAATTTCATTTTCTATACCACAAATGCGATCCACATTTTTACAACTTATTCATTGGGCATATCTACTGTGTCTTGTTTGGACAATATTCGTAAATCAATGAGATTTCTTATGTTTCGGGATCGCATATCACACGGTCTAGAGGCATTTTAAAAATCAGAACACACTGATACTTCATGTACCTACCATTTTATTTATTAACACACCGATATCTTGAAAGTATTCACGAAATGTATCGGAGAAAGAAAAACGTTGCAAAAAAGACACTCACCACGTCCATTTCGAGTTGTCATTAATTCAGTTTTCAACGTTGCATAACGCAATTCTTAAAAAAAATGCATTGCATCACGTAATTGCATTTTTGGCATACATATTTTCGGAACGTTGTCGCATATTGAATTTTATTAAAGAAGCGAGAAGAATCAAACCAAAACAACAAAGAAACATTTTAATTGTTTTTTTATTGCTTTTGATTGGTTTTGATGCGGAAACATCTGGGAAAATGATTTTGTGGGTCTTAAGGAATTCAAAGCCAATTTCCAAAAACCCTTTTGGAATTAGTATTCGTAAGATGCGAAAAATTTGTCATTTGAGTTTTATTTGGAACGATACACATAAAGAGTGTGGCATCGAGTCACTACTCAATGTATACATAAATCAGGTTCAGACAGAAAAAAGCAATCAAATATATATTCAAAGATATTAGAAAGATAATATTGGAAAGAAACAAAAATTATTATTGAAGAATCCAAAAGAATATAAATATTGCACAGAAAAGTGTTTTAGAAATTAAAAAAAATGGATAAAAAAGAGTATGTCCATTGGTTAAAATTAAAGTAAGATTAATTGTAAATAAGGCACGATGTGTGCCAATACTGATGTCATGCCGATGATGTCAACGTGGGCTCGAAGACATTGTTGTAATTTAGTATCTAGATTCAGAATTACTGTATAGATGTTTGTTATCAATCATGTGGTGGGGCATATGCTATTTCACGTTTTCTACTTCTCTATCCTCTCTATTTATAAATATTAAAAACAAATCGAATAATGTTTTTTTAAACACGCTGGATACAACGCCTCCACAGAGTATACGTTAGAGACAAACCGACGATGACAAGCAATTACATCAAAGTCGAAAGATAAACATGCGTCTATTTGCTTATATCGAAGCATAATGTTGTTGTATCAATCAATGTTCAATGTACGTTCGGTTCAATTTTGGTTTTGTTACGTTACAATGTGAATTTTTACACTATCGTCCTTAATTGCTTATTCATGTTGACATCGTTTCTATCAATTTTATGATAGTGATAATTTGTTCAGATCAATTTATGGGCATACATTTATTCAAAAGACATTTTCAAAATAAAACCGTGGCTTTCAATGCATTAACCGCATGAGTCGAATACATAAATTAAGGTAGTCTTATTTTCAATTCCACTGAATATACGATTATAAATAACCGTGCACATTTTATCAGCAAATACTGTGAAATGCTATTACCGTGACGTTGAAAATTATTCGATGGCATTTCAGTTGACCCATTCCATATTCTATGTTTTTGAAACAAGGTATGCTAAGAATTTCGCTGAATGTCAAATTATACTTTCCAAAATGAGTGATCAATTGTTCAAATAATTTTGATGCCAAAGATGTTTTGTCAATAATGAGTAAATATGAGATTATATTTAAAACTTGGATGAAATAAATGGAGATATACAGAGATACTGCATAGGCAAAAATGAATATGAATGAAAGGGAAGAATGGCGAAAAGAATAACAAGTCATTGTTGAAATTCGTCCGGACATATTGCGGTTTGGAATTCATTTATGAAATTTCGTTTGGTCCATTTGTTAAACACCGAATACTAAATATGGCGAGTTTCAAAAATGTTTTCAATTTTTCTTTAGTTTCCAAAGTAAATGGTGAGTAAAAAAAAGCAATCCGTAGAAGGGGATGATTAATTCGAAGCCTTGGACCCAATTTCAAAAACGATGATCACTTACATTACTTATAATTGCAACACATAAATTCATTTGAATGTTAAAATAGACAGCAAGTACGATTGTCGTTCTCAACATCATGTTAAAATGATTATAAAGAGGAAAACAATCTATCGGAATTAAACGAAAAAAACAAAAACGATACCATTTTTCAATATTGCAACAGAAGATGATGAAAACAAGAATACGATGATGATGAAGGTTGGGCATTTGATGATGTTACATGCGTTCACTTGTTACACATATGTGTGTTCAATTTAAGTTTGTTTTACTTTTTGATGCAATTCAGTTTCATAGAGATGCTTTGTTCTCCAAAATTCCATTCAACTCTTCAACGATTCTTTTTGTTGTCGGTTTCATTTTGTGTGTGTGAGTGTGTTTTTTGCTTTTTTTGTATTCTGCCCTTTGTTCGTTCATATCAGAATTACCTTAGCAAAATTTCAAACATTGATTTTCCACTTCAAATAAACAATAAGTATTGTGTAACTTAGCGTAAAATTAATTGATGAGAGCGCAGCAAATTTGTTTGTCGTTAAATAAACAAGTTTCATAGAGTAAATGAAACTCCTCAACATCAAAGCACTTTTTGGTGCTATTTGAAAGGGTAGTGGTAGTGTATGCACGGTAAAATCGAACTTGACGTCAGTTTACTTTCCGTACAAATTTTCTGAATTGAGAACTTAGGGTCGCAAATAACTTTTTTTTTGCACCACTCAAGTGTACATATTTCTACCACAGAATTCCTTGGATCCTGAAGTGCAACAAAGTATAGATTCTTATTCGTTGTGATGTTATTGAACATTTTTCTGTGGCCATAAATGCAAATATAAATAATTTACTGTAAACATATCATTCTTAATTATGTGCAAATAATTGAAACTATTTATAATAATATTAATTTTTAAAACATTTTTCATTGCAGCCTTGGTCCATTGGAGACATTACCACGGGAAATGGTTTCACGTCGAAAAATATTATCTCGTTCGCGAGATGATTTGAATTTAGAACATCAATATCAACAACAACAAGATGACGAAGAAGATGTTTGGTATCAAAAAGACAAACTTTATAAGGTATTTATAATTCAATTGTTGTTTTTCATTTGTGATTAAGACATGATTGACGAAATGCAATAAAAACCATACAGGTTGTGACATTGCACAAAACGAGCGAATTGAATACAAAGCTTGCGCTCTCGTTATTCATGTAATTCAATTCAGGTGAAATAAGCTGAACCAATTTTGTGTGTATGTTCTCACGTGTAAAATTGCACTACAAGTGAAGTAACAAACATTTAAATGGGTTTTTATGTGCGTTTTCCCTCCATTTGTTGCACTATTTTTTTAAAATATAGTTTATTTTGTAAGCAAAACAATAACAACAATAAGTGAATTATTAATTATGTGAATCGCTTTCAAAATCGTTTCTTTTACACATTTTTATATGAATTTAATATGACGGCACCATTTCACATTGTTCATTGCTAGCGTACATTGCTTTATCGTAGCCCAAGATGTCAGAGAGTCTCGAACAAAAAAAAATCATTTGAATTTTTCTGAATATTTAGTGACATGATGAAATTTCGTTAAATGTGTCGATTTCGAAACAAAAGCAGAAGTCAAGGGGAAATATAAAGGGTCTAATTTGGTCGAAATATGTGAAAGACTAAGATAACGAATCCATACCATGTTTGCCTACATATTCATTTATATACGGAAACTACATCTAAATTGATGAGAAAATGAAACAAAAAACCAAAAACAATCAAGTTTGATGTGCATTTTGCTTTGTGTTAAATCGGTGTTAATTCGACTGTGTGGAGAGCCATTGTTCTCTACACAAACTGTGTGATCTTGTAAATTCAATTACAATCCATTTGTAATTTGAAACACCGATGTCGCTTTTGATTACAGTTCAACCAATTAAATCTTCGTAGTTCACATGTCACTCTCTCAGTTTGCATTAATAAAGCAATTTTTTTTGTGTTAAATAAATGGCATGTTGACCAAATTATGCTAACGATACAATATACATCCGCAAGTACATTATCTCACCAATTTAAATGACGAATTCAGTAATAGAGAGATAGGTCATTCATTGATAATAATTCACAGTTCAACATTATCGTATGACAATGCTCAGATTTCTCTGCGGCTATTTATGTATCTATTCATTGACATTTGTCATATTCATATGCCACACAGAAGTGTCTGGTTGAACAGACTTGAATTGCATAAATTGTAGTTGGTGTTCTTGAATAGTCAAGCACATTTATTAATTTGCATTCACGCGACATTTGGCTTGTCAAATTCATTCTTTTGGGCATGGAAAATAAACAAAAAAGAAAATATGAATATTCGAACATAGGCTCGGAATCGTTCATCGGATCATATTTCACTGTTGCAAATACTTTTGGTTCGAAAGATATGAATGGCTTTATTTCTTTTATTGGTTAGCGTCTTCACAAAACACACACACTCATGTGCAGCTCATAATAATTTATCGTATGCGATTTTTACATGATAAATATTAAATAATCATCGTATTTATAGCTGGCATTTTTGGTTGTCTTACCGACCGTTATTCACGTGCGCGTGTGTATTTGCATACATTTCGTAATATTGGCACAATCACAGTAGACCGAATGGGCACCCCATTTATCATGCATATTGGGAAAGCAACAGCCGTTGTTTATCGTGTGTTAGTCATTCTGCCAACTATGCATATTATGGCGAAATTGTAAAGTGATATGCATGTACCGTTAAATTATATTCGCACATCAATTAGCTGAGATACATCTTATATGGTGCTAAATCATCCAAATTATATAAATTAATTACGATCGCATGGCAATGATGAAAATATTAAAGGTTATTTTGTAGTAACGAATCGTTCTTGTTCACATTGAAATTGCAAGCAGTTTTGGTGAATGTTTACAGTGTCAATTACTAATAATAACTGAGAAATTTATTCACATGTCAATCATTAAAATCTGTGGCTCAAACGATTCCAACTATTGAGCACCGAATTTACCGCTATTTATTCATCGTACAATATTGGTGACCGTTTACTGGTTTGACCACATCTTTGCATTCCAATGCGTAGCCGACACAAAAATTGCACCACCAGCATACTAATGAACGATGAACAGATGTGTGTGTGTGTTGATAGTCGCCAACAATTACCATTGACGTAATTCTAACAAAATTCGTTTACATTTTCTCCCACGGCCATCGAAAAACACTGTCTAAATCCACAAACAACGATTAGAATTAAAAATGAAATCTATCAAATAAATAATGGGACTACGGAGAAAATTCTTGAACTTCTGCATCATAATTTTCTGCATTATTTTATATTTCTATATGAAAAAATAAAATCGAATAAAATGATATGGTATTTCAGCAAATTTATTGATTCTACTCACATAGTTATATAACAATGTTCACTGTACTACTTATAAACTCCCGTGACGCATTGTCAATCAGTGTCACTTTCTTCATCATTTTTAAACTGATTTTGAAATCGCAATACCAATCCAAAAGAAGTTGCTCAAATCGACAATAACCGAGCGCATCTTTTCGATGTACCTTAAAAAATTGCACTTAAATACTAATACCATGTCATACATTTTTATCTGAGTTTTGAAAAGTGCATCCCAGTCGAAATGAAAAAAAAAAAAAAAACAATTTCATCATCGATTTGATGACATTTAGGCCACAAGCCATGTTAAATTTTCTGTTGCTAATAAACTCACCGCACAACGACAACCATCATATCGTATATTTCACTTCATTTGCACAACATTTTAACATCATTGAAATCTCAACGAAATAAAAGCACTGTACATGCACTCCACTTGTTCCATTCTTTACCGCAGCATTTTGATAAACCAGTTTCTCATCCAACTCTTGTTTTCGAGCGAATACATAACTGAATGCTCAAATCGTTCCATTCCATTCATATTCGACTATATATATATAGTTGATGTGCAAACAACAACAGTACACCAAACGTTGGTTTTTTTATTCAACATTTTAAAAATGATTGCGCAGTGCGCACTGAATTACATTCGAAAAAAATACAAAGAATACAATAAAGAACCGAATGAACATCCACATTACTTTTTTTCGCGCTTATACCATACTTCGCAATTTGAACGCTTATGAATTAAAAGACATTAAAGCTCAAATGTCATTATTATTATACGATGATGAGATTCAAAATAGATTCAATTTTTCGTTTTGTTCGCATAGATTTCCATTGAACGAAATTAAAACCAATTCCAATGTTTTGAAGAAATCTAAATGTTAAAACGAAATATTTTAATCAAAATTGCAGGCCTCAAGGTGTCAAGAAAAGTAATAATGTGCTGTTTTTTTGAAAGGCTACATTTTTCATTTCGACGGCATTCAAAAAGGCAGCATCTTCCTTTAAATTTTCACTAAAATTACAATCGAATAAGGAATGAACCATAGAAATGTTTACCTTTCGTAAGTATTGGAATTATTTCACAGCTTTTAGCTGTGTAAATTCAACATCATTACATATATGAAATCGAATTAAATGCGATGTAAATTGATACCAGCTAAAATACAAACATCATATCGTATTATGATGAAAATATTTACAGTTGCAAAGAGAAAAAAAAGATTTTCAATTAAATGGCGTAATATAATTAAATTTTTATTTTAGCTGTACGGATATGGTAGTTGCTAATGAAGAAAATAAAAATCCTGATTTTCCACTTATTTGTTGGTAATTGGTATTTTGAAAGAAAAAATAAATCAACAAATTTTGATTGACAAAAAGCCACAATTTTATTAGTTTCTTTTTACCAATTTTTATAAATAAAAATTGACGGTATTTTTTGTCAGTAGATATTCGTGCAAGCATCCAAATTCACATCAAATTGAGCATACAAATTCTTCAAGTTGCGCTTAAGTAGCCAATTTTGAGGCATAGACACACAATTTGGTTGCTGTTGTTTTGTTTAATTATGTTTGTTTGTTTTTTTTTCTCGTGGTAAAGTTTTGATCAGTTCGATAGATTCATTTTAAATGCTGCCTGTTAAAAGTTTACCCAACTAGATTGGCCCCTCTACTCCATCTACAATTCCATGTATATATAATTTTCTTTTACGTATTTGAACTTAGATGTTGCTGTTGTTATTATTGATGTTGTTGCAATTTTTTGTTGCGTTTGCGTGAATGGTTTGCGCAACCATCGATGAATGTGAACCAGATATAAACATTGATGTAATTGAATGGATGAGTGAGGTACCGAATGTACATTCAGTAGTTTTCAATATTTTGACAGTTTAAATGAGCGAATAATTGTGAATCGGTTAAATAATATTTAATGATCTATATATATATATGATATATTTATTCATTACATACATAGACTGCGTAAAGTGAGGTAATCAATGGTGACAAAAACAATAGCACCAGACTGAACCGCAGAATTATAACATCAATTTCAGTGGATGAATAAACACTGACACCTTTTCTTGCATTATTCAACGTCTATCCATGAAAATTCCGTGAAGGTACATTAAAATGCGTTTGTAAACAACGAAACAAAAAATTAAGCAAACAAAACACTATCGATTGAAAGTGGAGCGCAAAAATGGAATAAATTTGCGTGTGCTGTTGCCATATACAAATTATGCTTCGTTGTAAAGAACTGTATATTATACCAAAATATTTGCTGCGTTGTCTATCTATTACCATTTGTTTGAAAATTATTTAAATAGTTTTAACTAAACGGGTGCGCGCACCCGAGTGATTCATCAAAAAATTGAGTTCACCGAAATAAAGAGAAGATCGAAAGCAAAAAAAAAAACTGAGCGACGACAACAATGTCGACATAAATATTGAACTATATCGTAATGTTCATTCAATTGTGTGTCATCTGCCGGTCGTCGATTCCGCGTCCCACTCGACACCGCTAAGCAAACACCAACTATGAACACACTCATTTTTTTTTCTTCAACAAATTGCTTGATCGTTTATGCAACTTAAGGGGAATGAGCATCATTATCTGATGAATTATTTATAGATGAGTTGAA